CGTTCTTCAGATTGATGGAAAATGTTCAAATGTAATGGAAAAGCGTTCTTCTACTGTAAGAACCTTGACATCCTAACAATCGAAGGGCCCTTTTTGGTGCTATACAGAATCCTCAAAAAGGTTCTATATAGAATCATCTACAGCATGTTCTCCATCAATCTGATCTCTTAATCATACAAAGGGTTCTTTAAGTGTTCATGGTGCTATATAGAACCATTTTCTTTGCTGATCAATCGCCATTCTTAAAAGTGTACAAGCCTGACATCGGAACAATAACAGAACCCTTTTTGGTGCTATACAGAATAAAATAAAACACATTCTCCATCAATCTGAAGAACAATATCATGATGCATAGAACCATTTAATCATGGAAAGGGTTCGTTGAGTGTTCATGGTTCTATATTGAACCATTTTCTTTACTAAAGAACCCTTGAAGAACCATCTTTTTTAAGTGCAGTAGTGCACCGACTACTGTAAATAAAAATGCATTTATATGAAAACAAACTGGTTTTATATTATTCAAAACAGTGATACACTTTTGAACATCAGTGTATTCATCAAACAGAACACAAATACATAAACAAGCTCAGCATGTCTTTAGTTTATTTTATTTGTCGTTATTTTTATTGAGCCTCGTTTTCCAGCCGTCCTTAAGAAGAAATTTCTTCTTTCAAAGCCCACTTTTTTGCCACTGCTTAGAGGAACTATTTATATTTATATTTATATTTATATTATATTTATATGTCTATTACATGCTGTTTCTAACACACAGAATAGTGTAAACAGAAAGCAACTGTAGAGCAGCGACCTGATACTGTCTGGCATACAGCCTGATTTTGGTGTAGCTATAGAACAGAATTCTTGCACTTAATTTAATCATTTTTTAAATTGTAATGTAGATTCTATAGCTATAGATAATCACAGTTCTTTGGATGGAGTTCTGCAGAGCTCAGTACTAGATCCAGTTTCATTTACATTATTTTACTGACATTACCTCTACATTTGAAGAAGCAGTTCAGCTAGAAATGTTGATATGCTTTAGAGAAAATATTTATATTTATATATCTATTGAATACTGTCAAATTTTACTCACTTAGGAGGAAATCGTGTAGTTGAAATTAAATGCATCATGACATAGAAGTTATTAATTTAGGCTGCCCTCAGTTATAACCTGGCATAAACATATTCAGTGTGTGAAATCCCCCCCTAGTATTCGGGGGTCCCATGTTGGCTGCTAACTCTCATAGCGGTGCTGATGCTTCAGTGTCAGTAAATGTTTGTTTTATCAGCTACTCTTGTAGAGTCTCTGTTCTAGTGCGGTTCTGCGCTCTTCCTCACATTAACTGAGATCTTCCTCGTCTCCTCTTCTGTAGAGTCTCTGTTCTAGTGCGGTTCTGCGCTCTTCCTCACATTAACTGAGATCTTCCTCGTCTCCTCTTCTGTAGAGTCTCTGTTCTAGTGCGGTTCTGCGCTCTTCCTCACATTAACTGAGATCTTCCTCGTCTCCTCTTCTGTAGAGTCTCTGTTCTAGTGCGGTTCTGCGCTCTTCCTCACATTAACTGAGATCTTCCTCGTCTCCTCTTCTGTAGAGTCTCTGTTCTAGTGCGGTTCTGCGCTCTTCCTCACAGTAACTGAGATCTTCCTCGTCTCCTCTTCTGTAGAGTCTCTGTTCTAGTGCGGTTCTGCGCTCTTCCTCACAGTAACTGAGATCTTCCTCGTCTCCTCTTCTGTAGAGTCTCTGTTCTAGTGCGGTTCTGTGCTCTTCCTCACATTAACTGAGATCTTCCTCGTCTCCTCTTCTGTCTTCAGTGTGAGAAATGAGGAACAGTCACTCTTCACTCCAAACTCTTGGGAAACTGGGCGAGTTTTCAGATTTACAGATCTGCTGCAGCTCATTGTAAAGTGTTTTCAGAGGAATCCGGGCAGAGTTACAGTTTCTAGGCTATGAAGGACCAACTGGGTGAACCAGTCTGCTACAGCGCCACCCTGAGGCAGAGCAGTGCTGCAGCTCTACTTAGTTAAGAACACTAAAGACAGAAGCTGATTGTGGGGGAAGCAGACAAACAATCAGCTTCACTTTAATCTGTAACTGAGTGTTTGTTGTTCTGTAACGGTCAGCGTGACGTCATAAGTTTATTTTCAGGGACCCTCAGAATTTAGATATTGAGACATTCAAGGGGTTCAAGAGGTTAATTAGAGGGTCCTGGACCCCCCCCCTGTATTTCGTACCTTGAACGTATGTCTAATGTTTAGAATGTGAGACAGACAGCACTGTGTAAAAGTCAAAGCATCTTAACATTAAACTACTCCTTCACAATGTGGCTCTGCTGAGGGACCCAGCACTCATTCACTCACCTGTTTCCTCAGGAAATTAGCCAATCACAGCGAGATATGCTAAATTAAATTAAATGCATCATCATCAGACTCTCATAGCTGCTTTACCGCGACAGCAGATTTTCACCATAAAGCGGAATTGACGCTTTATTGATGATGGATGACTGTCTCACTTTCCACGACTGGGGTGGCCAGAATGGCGGCCATGCTTCATTCCAGGGAGACATTGCCCCCCAACGGCCACCACTCGGCTGCACCTCTGTCCTAGGTTGAAACATACTCGAGCATATAAATGTGAAAAAAGTAAATTTATGTAAAAAATTAAGTTGAACACATGTTTGAAATTATGACCCACACTAGCGAGTCCACCTGCTATTAAGTCTTTTCAACAAACTCTGCGATAAGATGCTTCAGAACTGCTGTGGACAGGTTCCTTTAACAATGACATGAATTTGGAAAGAAAACCATGCAGGATTGGTGAGAGAGGTCTGGGATATATAAACATGTAAGGAGTAAATATGTAAAAAAAAATTTCTCTTGAAAATGTAAAAGGACTTATTGAGCGGGAGTTAAACAGAATTCTTGCACTTCGTTTAACTAATTTTTAAATGGAATGTAGATTTTATAGCTACAGATTGAAAACATGGACCTATTTGTGCTACCGTACAGGGCTTAGTTCATGATTCAGATTTAACTGGTTTCAGACAGAACATTGAGACTGCAGTCATAGTTCTTTGGATGGAGTTCCACGGGGCTCAGTACTAGGTCCAGTTTTATTTACATTATTTTACTGATATTACCTCCACATTTGAAGAAACAGTCCAGCCAGAAATGTTGGTATGGTTAGTGGTTAATAATGAGTAAATCTGGGATCTGGTTACAGTATATTGGCTTCTAAAATCTTGAAGAAACAGATGACATTCATGCTGAAGCTTAGCCACAATGTGCTTTCCGCCAATTTAAATCACCACAGAGTCACTTGGCAAGGTGTCTTGCCAAACTTTCAGAAATGAAAGTGAGGTGCATAGATGGGCCAAGAGTTTGTGGTTTTATGTTAGTTAACTTTTTAGCATAATGCTAACTGGAACCTACAAGTTGTCATTGAATGGCTTTCCTGTTTTTCCTTCTATTGTTTCTGTACAGCATGTTTTGGTTGACATTTGTTTTTAAATGTGTTGTATTAATTAACTTGTAGCAATATTAGCATGATATGCTTTCTTCGTGCCCATGTTTACACTTTTAGGCTGTTTTAGATGTATAAAGCTTTTTTTTAAACATCACAGCAAAGTCTGCTGTTCTCTACAATATAACGTGATTATTTACAGATCAGCTGAATGTGCCTGTTCATTTGGCCTGAAAAAACAAACTGGGTTCACTTATTTGTAGAGAAGCTGATTAAAGCACTCCAGACCCAGACTGGGATTTTCCTACAGAAATAGGTCTTGATCTTCATTCGACAGTAGAACGAAGCTCACTGGAAGCTTTTTAATCTCCAGTAATTACTGGAACACTGCATATGAAAGTATTAAGCCTCTAGACCCATTGTGCTGAGATTTGTCACGGGACTGTGAACTCACGCTCAGGAACACCAGGCTGCCCATCAACGACAACTCAAGGGCAGTTTGCACCATTTTTGTTTAATTGCAAGTTTTATTCCAGATATTAATCTTATCATCTCCGGATGTTTACTGCCTTATGCATCAGCTACGCCTACACTTCAGGACATAACTGTCAAAAATCAGAGAGAAAAATGAGTAAAAACCATCTTCCATGATAGTGCCAATTCCTGCTAGCACCCCTATGGAATTTGAATAGTATGTTAGTGCAAAGCTAAATCTGGCAAACATTTTTGTGACTTTTCTAAAATAAACACGAGTATCTGAAGCTTGCAAACGTCCTTGAATGTGTTTTATTTGAAGCAGACAACATACATTTGAGCTTGTGTCAGTTTTGTATCAGTTTGTATCAGTTGTTTCAGTTTTATAGTTAATCTTGGAGTTCCACAGGACTCAGTACTCGGTCCAATTTTATTCACATTATATTGCTGATATTATCTCTACATTTGTGGAAGTAATTCACCAAGGAATGTCCTGGCGTAGAGCTCCTGCCGCTGTTTTCCGTTCCTAACAACTAACTGAACTACTGGATCTTTTTCCACACACTGTATATCAGAATGTGATTGTTTGATTTACTAATTATGTTGGTATTTAATCTAACATGTAAGGAATTCAGTAGCTGAATTAACTAATGGGAGAAGAGCTCAGCTGTATCTACCTAGACACCACAGACAGTACAATTCAGATTGGATAATTTTCTGTTGAGTGTGTCAAGATTTTAACCCTTTTATTTGTAACTAAAACTTAAAAGTGAAATGAAAGTACTACACAGCTGAAATAAAAGTAGCATGATAATTATATTAAAAAACATGAAATAAAATGACGCACATGCATTTTTGGATTTCACAGAAATCACTAGGTCTGTTCAGAAGATCTGTAAGGCCCTGAGGGTTCCACTATACTACTAATACTATATTATGTGATATGTGATTAACTGTGTATATATATATATATATATATATATATATATATATATATATATATATATATATATAGATAAAACATCCTATATATAAATAACTCATTATAAATGTGTGTGTTTGCCTTTAGGTGAATACTCGGGACTTGAGCCACATACGGAAGAGAGAGGCTTTAAGAATTCTGGCCAGCTACGAGCAGCCAATCACGCTGCAGATAGAGGGGCGGAGGGGGCGGAGCCTGCAGTTCCACAGAACGTCAGACTGCAGTACACAAACAGAGCGGCCATGGGACACCTTACATACCCTCGCCATAACACACGGGCCGTACTCTGACAGGTACCACCTTACATATGGTCATAATGTCTTAATGAATTATGCACAATTACATAAAATATAAACAGTCATTCAGAGTGGTTCAGAGTGGTTTGGTGTGAAACGCTCTGTTCTAGATAAACTTACAGAGTCAGAACTGTTCACAGTGGTGGTGATAGGAACCAGACGTCCACCTCTAAAAGCTCCTCACAGAAAGTTCCTACATGAAATGGTTATGAATTCACTGCCTGATGACTGAGACACTGTTTTATGATAGTTTTGAGAACTTAAACTCCATTCATGGTGGAGGGATACATGCAGGGCGCTGTGAGGCAAAATAGTCCCCAAAGGAAACTTATTATTTCAGATTCTCCACTATTTTCCATCATCAACATTCCATATAGACTCAGAAGACTCGTGTAGGTTCACTGGTGGTTCTGGATAGTAAATAAAATGTCTATATTTGTGTTGTAGTCATGGCGACCCCTGGTTCCTATCACCACCACTGTAAAGACATCTGAACCATTTCACACCAAACCACTCTGAATCTCTCTGTTTACACCTCACACACTGAATTATGGGGAGGATTTTGAAAGATGGGTGGAGTTCCTCTTTAATGGTGTTACAGTAAGCTGTAGTGGGTCAGCAGGATGTGTACAGTGTGAGCGCTGTAGGCTGCAGTGCTACTTCAGGAACAGTGGAGTATTTCAGACTCTCAGCTTTATTCTCGGACAGAAATGAGGTCAGATGTCTATTACTTACACAAAACAGCGCTGTGAGTGTACAACGCAGCTAACGCGCATTAGGAAACGCAGTACACCACGCAGGCCTCATCACCAATCATACAGCACTGAGGAAAAGTCTTGTTGTACTTAACAGCTTGTATATAATGCTGTATAACATTAGAATAAATGCAAATAAGCATAAATATAGTAAAAACACTATAATATTAGAATAAATGCAAATAATTATGAATACAGTAAAAATGCTGTACAACTTTAGAATAAATGCAAATAATCATAAATACAGTAACAAAGCTGTATAACATTAGAATTTTAATAAGAATAAATAAAATAAAATTGCTGCATAACGTTAGAATAACGCAAATAATCATAAATATAGTAAAAACACTGTATAACATTAGAATAAATGCAAAAAAATAAATACTGTAAAAATACTGTACAACATTAGAATAAACACGATGAATCATAAATACATTAAAAACCCTATATAGCATTAGAAAAAATGTGAATAAACAGAAATATAGTAAAAACACTACAGCATTAGAATAATCAAATAATCATAAACACATTAAAAACACGGTATAACATTAGAAGAAATGAGAATAAACAGAAATATTGTAAAAACACTGTATAACGTTAGAATAAACGAATAAAAAAATAAATACTGTATAACATTAGAATAAACATAAATACAGCAGTCAGTAGTCAGAATGTGTTGTTTTTGGTTAAGTTATGAGTATGTAGGTCAGAAGATCAGAGGTCAGGTTCTGAGTTCTCTCTGCTCTCCTGCGATCGCATAGATTTGTTCAGTTCCTTCAGCAGCAGCTGGTTTAATTTAATGAAGCATATTGATTAGATAAAGCAGGTGTTGGCTGGTCACTGTAAATACTGGACTTCCTCGAGGAGGTCATGTTTCATTAATTTGCTAAATGAATATAAATGAACATCCTCTACTCTGACATTTTCCTGCAAACACAATTTCTGTTAATTTGCATTAACATATTGGAAAAAATAAAACACAGTATAAAATGTGCTACAACTCTTGCTCAGGCCACATTTTAGTGTATTACAGGTCTGGCAGGTAACGTCTCACCCACAGTGTGTGTTTAGAGCCGGTGGCTCATGCTGAGAGATAACACTCCTGCACAGCTGTGCTGGAATGAAGGAGTCTGATTGGCTGGTGTGTATTCTTCCTTCAGGCCCTACTACAGTCACGTGACCCTGCCTGGTGACCATGGAGACGGAGGCAGATATGATTACCTACCCAACGCTCCGCGGGACCTGGAGGACATGCACGCTATTCCATGCCATGTAGGTGCAGTTTAGAGTGTATGTGTGTATATATTTCTTTGTGGGGACCAAATAAGCACCTATGTGTCGGAAAAGCATTTTTCACTGCACATTTTAATCATTTTGTAATCATTTTACTATTAAAGATCGACAAAATGGACCAATTTCACTTACTGCACAGGCCTTGGGTTACAATTAATTTTATTTTATGGTTCGTTTTAGTTTCAGACTGATGGATAGAGCACACTGTGTGGGAGCAGTCAGAGTTGTTTTGAAGGAGTTCCACAGGGCTCTGTTCTTGGTCCAATTTCATTTATGCTATATTACTAATATAAAAAATGCAAATATACTGGAATGGCTAGTGAGTAATAAAGAAATGAAAGATAGGAAATCATGGTCTCACCACATGTTGACATTTCGTCAACGGAAATGACTGCTTAACCTTTTGAAGGCGGCGCAAAAACTTGGCTATTTCTGTGGTTTAATCTGCTTTTCTTTGCTAATGATCTGATTTCTCAGTGCAGCTGGGCTTGCTTGGAAAAAATACAGTGTATCTAAGAATGAAGTTTGCTTTAATGAAAGCTCTGATTTAACACACTGATGCTTTTCACTGTGGACAACATAGATATGCAGTTTTAAATTAGTTTAAGGGGCCATCACCAAATTCTCAGACTGGACGTTCGGTTCCATAGGGTTCAATGTGCACAGGATGACAAAAGTAGGCCACAGCTGATCTTAATGCTGCTCAGGTTAAGGTGAGGGTTGGGTTACGTGGAGCACAGCAGCTAGAGAGAGAGGGTGTGTGTGTGTATGCTGTAGTAAAGCTGACTGAGCTCACGTTCTAAATGGAATAAACAGGTCAGCCGTGCTGAAGCTGGACGTTTTGTCCCACTGACATCCAGCTTATATAGCAAAGAGCTGAGAGTCGATTAAAAACACAGACACACATTTACATAATTAACTCTAATGTGTGTGTGTTAGATTAGGTGTGCTGCTTCTTTAATTTCAGCACTGGAGCTTTGAGGCTAGTGTAGCGAACAAGTAACAGAAGCCTCAAGCTGTGTGGTGTTCAGTATCTCTAATAGTTTTGATTATGTGGTTTCTGACACTGTATGACTCACTGATATCTATAAACATGGACTAAAATACAAAAGTCAGGCTTCAAATTTCCACTGATCAGAAAAAATCACCAATGATTCAGTGTATGAGATGTAAACAGAGAGGTTTAGAGTGGTTTGGTGTGAAATGGTTCAGATGTTTTTACAGTGGTGGTGATAGGAACCAGGGGTCACCATGACTACAACACAAATATAGACATTTTATTTACTATCCAGAACCACCAGTGAACCTACACGAGTCTTCTGAGTTTATATGGAATGTTGATGATGGAAAATAGTGGAAAGTCTGAAATAATAAGTTTTCTTTGGGGACTATTTTGCCTCACAGCGCCCTGCATGTATCCCTCCACCGTGAATGGAGTTTAAGGCTGAAATCTTCTCAAAAGTATCATAAAACATTGTCTCAGACTTTCTTTTAGCTTCCCCTATACTGACGCCCCAAAAAACATTTTAGGGGTGTCCGGTTTTGGCTTGAAATGGTGGTAACCCTAAACACCACACTCCCCTCTATATAATCCTATCCCACTTTCTGAGCGCTGTGTTCTTTACAGTGTAATTTTGGATGGACCTTTCTTTGACTGCCGCTCTGTACTTTAGTTGTACTGAATGCAGTCCTCATTAGCTTCGCTAGCATGCTAACGGCTCTGCTCACCACAGAACAGGTTTGATTCTGACTAACAGAAGCGACACTGAAGCAAGTTTAGATGATAACGGCTCAAATCTGAGGAAGCGAAGTTGAGCGGCTGGTGTTGGAGGGACAGGAAGCCAAAATCAAACCTGTTCTTTTGCTGTAGCTACAGAACAGCTGAGCTGTAGCCTGCTGGGCTAAGCTAACACTGCAGGTTCCACCCACTGCAATGCAGGCTCGGTTCCAGCTAACTGATGCCCAAATAACAACCGTTTAGAGAATAAAAACTCCAAGAGCACAGACTCCAGTGACTGGTGTCGGAGTGACAGACAGAATAAACCGTGTTCTGTAGCATTTAGCCTGTTAGCCGTTGCTTAGCAACTCTTTTGTGTAGCTTTTCTTGAGTATTTTCTGGTTCTGTTTAAGCAACAAAGCAGATGGATGAAGAAACCGTAACCAGTCTCTTGAGTCCGCACCAGCGCAGAACAGCATGTGTACAGCCCTGACTCGACTCTACGGTGCACAAGAAGCTATTGAGACCATTAAGGTTCTGCAGGTTCCTGTTGGTGTCCAGTAGTTTCTAATGGTATTCTGTGTTTTCCTGATGGGCTGATATCACAGTGTAAAGGACTCTAATAGTTAACAGGTGTTCTAAAACTGATTCCAGATGCATTTGATGGTTTTATATAAACAAGCAAATGCTACCGGTCTGTCAGTCAGCTAGCGTTAGCCTCGTCTAGCTCTATCTTTCAGTTCGAAAACAGTTAGTTTGTAAAGTTAGTAGTGATTTACTGTGTTGAGATTGCTGTAAGCTAATCGTTATATTATTTAACTTATTTCTAGATTTGTTTTACATGTTAAGTGATTTTAGTAAGTCAGATCATCTCACTATATTGGTAGATAATTCTGCTTGTTGTACAAAATGTGCTTGAAACAAATAACAGTGATATAATCTGATTTATTACAGTCTCCTTAAACACGTAAAACACGTCTAGAAATAAGTAAAATAATCTTGTAAGTAAAATAAATATTAGATATCAACTGGATTTAAGTTAATTTTTCTCAACAAGATACTATTTTTGCAGTGTGCCAAATGTGATAAATGATATTGATCATTTTAATCCAGCACATTGTCGGCATTTTCTAAAAAAAAAAAGTTGTTTGCAACATTTGTCTTAGTTTATTTTCCAAAATAAAAGTCTCTGTGTATTTAAAATCTGTTTGACGTGATTAAAACTAGATAGAGCTTGTATGCAGGACAGTAATCTGGGTGGTCCGAGGGGGGACTAGCAGCGGCAAACAGTCGGTGGGGTGCCGACCTTATCAAACCAGAAGGCCGATGTATGCTGCTATCTGGGATTTCATTAAATACATATGAAAAGAGTGCAAATATGAATTTGAGCTTAATGGTTATCAGCATTCTCGCTATGACGCGTTCCACGTAGTACAGCTAATGTCTGTGCTGTATCTTTACGTGATTCCAAGTGATACCATGCAGTGTGGCATGTAAGACAAGGCCATTTGACTGACAGGCAAAGAAACCAATCACAGACTTGTTTTTGCAGTATGTATAAAGTGAAGGTGATTTTCAAAATGGTGCTACAAGAAAAACAAACCTGTGGGAAACAAAACGTTATGCCTGACAGTATTATTCTTCAATAAACTTCACTAAAGCTTGAAATAAAACTCCCCAATAACCTTTAAAAACGTTGTTGTGGACTATATTTCACGTCAAGAAGGCTAATTATTTTCACTCTGAAGAAAAGACAACTGCTTGCTGACAGCTGTCAACAAATATCCAGATCATAACAGGAGCCAGTTCAAAGGGAACCTGGCCACTTTCTTTTACTCCCATTATACCAAAAACACCTCTGTAGAGGGCGCCAGAGAGTCTTCAATAATTGGGGGTGAACAGAGCTTAATGGCTAAAAATGATTTGATTAACAGTAACAGCCACTGTGGTACAAAAAAACTGCCATGAATTTTCTCATATTGTCATTTTTTGCTCTTTTTTCCACCAGATTTCATGGATAACAATTGGAAATTTGTTAAGGTTTCTGTTCCAGCAGGATTAGACGACTTTAAGCATGTTTAATGTTGTAAATATTAATACAGATATTAAAAGGTGTCACATCTTCCTATCATTCTTTCTCAGGATCCTGAGCTGTCGGCAAGAGGGCCACCGGGACAGAGCTGTCTCATTGGCTGCTGCAACACCAACTTGGAGGAACCCAGTAGCTTCCAGAGTCAGGTGAGCATACTGCAGTACAGGTGAGGGCAGTGTGGAACAGCACTGAAGCACTGAGGTACAGTGAGAGCAGGGTGGTACAGGTGAGAGTAGAGTGGTACAGGTGAGAGCAGAGTGGTAGAGGTAAGAGCAGGGTGGTACAGGTGAGAGCAGAGTGGTACAGGTAAGAGCAGAGTGGTACAGGTGAGAGCAGAGTGGTACAGGTGAGAGCAGAGTGGTACAGGTAAGAGCAGAGTGGTAGAGGTGAGAATAGAGTGGTACAGGTGAGAGCAGAGTGGTAGAGGTGAGAGCAGAGTGGTACAGGTGAGAGTAGAGTGGTACAGGTGAGAGCAGAGTGGTACAGGTGAAGGCAGAGTGGTACAGGTGAGAGCAGAGTGGTACAGGTCAGAACAGAGTGGTACAGGTAAGAGCAGAGTGGTACAGGTGAGAGCAGAGTGGTACAGGTGAGAGCAGAGTGGTAGAGGTGAGAGCCAAGTGGTACAGGTAAGAGCAGACTGGTAGAGGTGAGAGCAGAGTGGTACAGGTGAGAGCAGGGTGGTAGAGGTGAGAGCAGGGTGGTAGAGGTGAGAGCAGAGTGGTACAGGTAAGAGCAGAGTGGTACAGGTGAAGGCAGAGTGGTAGAGGTAAGAGAAGAGTGGTACAGGTGAGAGCAGAGTGGTACAGGTGAGAGCAGAGTGGTAGAGGTGAGAGCCGAGTGGTACAGGTAAGAGCAGACTGGTAGAGGTGAGAGCAGAGTGGTACAGGTGAGAGCAGGGTGGTAGAGGTGAGAGCAGAGTGGTACAGGTAAGAGCAGACTGGTAGAGGTGAGAGCAGGGTGGTAGAGGTGAGAGCAGAGTGGTACAGGTAAGAGCAGAGTGGTACAGGTGAAGGCAGAGTGGTAGAGGTAAGAGAAGAGTGGTAGAGGTCAGAGCAGAGTGGTACAGGTGAAGGCAGAGTGGTACAGGTGAGAGCAGAGTGGTACAGGTCAGAGCAGAGTGGTACAGGTGAAGGCAGAGTGGTACAGGTGAAGGCAGAGTGGTACAGGTGAGAGCAGAGTGGTACAGATGTGAACAGAGTGGTACAGGTGAGAACGGAGTGGTACAGGTGAGAACAGAGTTACACAGATGAGGGCAGAGTGGTACAGGTGAGAGCAGAATTAGGTACAGGTGCTATGAGAGTTTTGTAGTAGGGTGAATTCTGATTGGCTGCTGGTAACCATGGCAGAAAAATGCTTGAACGTCGTCTGCCAGTTTAGTGCCTGTGATTAAATGATTCATCATGAGGAAATGGCAGCATTTTCCTTTAACGCAAAGAGCTGACGACAGAAATGATTGCGCATAGTTTCTATTTAGAGCATAATAACTGATGTGGCTTTATTTAAGGCACATTAATCAAATATTCGTGATTTTATTTCCAGATACATATTAAGTAAGTACGTGCTGTCAAACCGAAGTCTTAATAGGCTGCATTAAGTCATCATTTAAACATATAAACACAGTGTACAAACAGAGTAATTAACGTATTTGACATGATTTGTCAGATTGAGGTAATATTTGGTCTGATTGTGTCTGACGGCCGCAACGCCTCCTTCACATCCCTCACTGTTCAGCTGCAGAACCAAATGTTATGTAAATAAGTTATGTGTTGCTAAGCAACCATATTATACTAATCAGAGAGATGCTGAGATGAAGCTTTGAAAACAGGGCTGCGAATAACGAGCCGCATTACGGCGCTGTCTAACGCGCTCACATTCAGGATGTGACCGCTCCGGATGAATAATTTAAATTCAGCTAAAGCAGATTTTTTCTGAGGACGGAAATATTCATCATTCAGCAAACTTAGCTTTTTAGAGAGCGAAGAGATCGTTCCTGGAAACGACTTCAGCTCCATCAGCAAACTGGGCTGCAGATTCATGACAGAGGATCTTGGGAGAAACACTGAAAAGCTCTGAATGCAGATCTCAAAAAAAAATACCTCTTAATAAAGTGATAATTATTAGGTTATTTTCTGTGTAGCTGATTACAGAACCCAATTCACAATTTTGAACAGATTTTGACCATTAACAAGCCCACATCACACGCACGATCACACATTTTTCTTGTACTTGTACTGTCTACTTATGACATTTGTGTGGGCTTATGTAACAAAAATGGTCATATTTCATTTTTATCCCTTACAATTAAGCAGCCAGTTTTTGTTACTGTGCCTTTAAGACTGAATGGGTGGGGCTAAACTGCTGTAGGCTGAATGAGTGGAGCTAAACTGCTGTAGGCTGAATGGACGAGGCTTAGCTGCTGTATGCAAAATGGGAGGAGCTAAACTGCTGTAGGATGAATAGGTGCATGTGTGAACAGTATAGACTGGCCAGTGAATGGTATGTTTTGCAAATTAACAGTGTTTACATAAAACATTAAACTCTTTTACTTAAAAAGAACAAGCAAGAAAATGTAGTTTTTCCGTGATGTGGTCCCTTTAAAAAGTTCTAGCTTACTGGCCAGTCTATTATACATATGTGCTGGTCGAAGGCCCCTCTAGTGGTCTAATTCCTGATGTATGTTTTACTAAAATAAGTTGTGTATGTATTTTCAGACCGAGGACGAGGACTACATGCTGGAAAAAACAATGGGTTATCTTCCTCTACATCATGAGCTGGACAGCGGGTTAGGCTGGACTGACGGCAGCTTCCACCAGGGGGAGCTCTCAGGTGTGGAGACAGAGGAGGGCCTGGAGGAGTGCCACACACACCGAGGGGGAGGAGGAGGCTCACCTTCATCCGAGTCGTTCATATCTTCTGAGCTGAGTGACTCCGGGTTCTACAGCGTTAGCACCGGCGAGTTCCTGCGGTTTCCAGCGGCTGCTGGAGAAGCGGATGCGCCTTTACAACGCCCGCATGCACCACCAGGGGGAGCTCAGGGACAGCCAGAAGGGTCACCGTGAGCTGGAGGCCATCCCAGAAGCACTAACGGTCCAGCCCCAGAACGTCTGTGTGCCTGGTGGTGTTGGTGGGCACCCAAGAGGTTTGTTTAGGGTGTCTTCAGTGCAGTTCCGGAAGACGGAGCGTCCCTGTTTGAACCGGCACAGCTCCAGCAGTGGCGCCCTTTTCACGCCCCATGCCGCTCTCTCAACCTGCAGTACTCCCTCCAGCCAGAGGAGGATGCCACCACACCACAGCTCCTCTACTGGGATGCTGAGGAGAAGCAGAACGCTGCATCATCGCCCGCCACATGTTGAACACCGCAGGAGAGCAAGTCACCCAGCGTCGCCAAACTACTGCATGACCCTGCAAAACTACGGGCACAGGATCCAGCAAGAGCTGCCCGAGGAATCTGAAACGGATGTGCACCATGCTAACCACCCATCACACCATGCTAACCAAGCCACACACCATGCTAACCAAGCCATAAACTATGCTAACCACTCAACGCACCATGCTAGCCAAGCCACACACCATGCTAACCATCCAAGTCACCCAGCCGATTATGCTACACACCATGCAAACCAAGCTACACACCATGCTAACCAAGCTAACCAAGTTCCACACCAGGCTAACCATCCAATACACCCCACTGACTACACCACACACCATGCTAACCATCCAGCGCACCCCGCTGAATATGCCACACATCATGCTGACCATCCAACGCACCCTTCTGACTACGCTACACACCATGCTAACCATCCAACGCAACCAGCCGACTACAACACACACCATATTAACCATCCAACACACCCTGCTGACTACGCCACACACCATGCCAACCATCCAACACACCCTGCTGACTACGCCACACACCATGCCAACCATCCAACACACCCTGCCGACTACGTCACACACCATGCTAACAGTTCAGCACACCCTGCTGACTACACTGCACACCATGCTAACCAAGCCACACACCGTGCTAAACACCCAATGCACTCTGCAGAATATGCTACTCATCATGCCAACCACCCAATGCACCCTGCCAACTATGCCACACACCGTGCTAACCATCCAACACACCATGCTAACCATGCCCCACACCCTGCCACTCACCATCCACACCACACCCTCCCTGCCCATGCCACACTCCCTGCCCAACACACCCACCGCCTGCGCCCAAAACACGCTATCAGTCAGCCTAGCCTGACCAGCTCCTTTGAAGACCCCCACTGTGATCTGCCCCATCTGCCCCACGAGCCCCGTCGCCATGACAACGGGGGCAGATCACCCAGCAGTCTCCGGGAGGACCGGAGCTTTGCGAGCGAACCCCCTGTCGGCCGGGAGAAGGAGCGCAGCCGAGAGCGAGAAAGAGAAGCTCGCTTTCACACCCTGAGCCACACTCCGTCGCAGGAAGTCAACGACACGTGGCCCAAGCCAGCCAGTCGGCAGGGTACGGGCGGCCTCTACAGCACACTCGAGGGCCACGTGACCGCCACATCGCCCACTTCGGCACAGAAAGCATCTGTCGTGGGTACGAACCCGCGGGCCGTCCGGAACCAGCTCCTCCGCGACCGGGCGCTACGGCTAGCAGATGAACGTGGCGGCATGAGCACGGATGAAGAAAGTCACAGCGAGATCCGGACGGGTCGCTACTGGAGCCGCACAGAGCGACGTGAACACATGATGCAGAAAAAGGCGCGAAGCAGCAGCGGTGCCGGCGCAGCCATCACAGCGGCCGGGGGCGCCAGCGCAGTTCTGGAGCTGAGCCAGAGGAAGCTGAGCCGTCTCAGAAACAGGAAGCTACTGGACGACTGGACCACGGTGGAGGAGCTGCTGACCCACGGGAGCCGGCTCGGAGCCAACGACGATGCGCTCCAGATACCGAGCTCACTGCTCACCGTCACCACTGTATAGCAACACGCGGTGTGAGTGTGCACTGCATGTGTGTTTCTGACCGGTGTGTGTGTGTGTGTGTGTGTGTGTGTGTGTGTGTGTGTGAGAGAGATATACTGCCTTCACCACATGAGGCTACCTCCTGTTCTCGATGTTTACTGTAGATAGATGTTTCTGGGACACTGTAGTTTGTTGTTTTTTTCCAGAGGTTTCTTCTTGGACTTGGTTCAGATCGGCACTGGTAACAACTAGCGACTTTCAGTTTTATTATGACAAAAAAAAACGCTGCATTTTCGATTCGACCACTTCAAGCAATACTGCACTGCGTCAATGTTGGACCTGAGCTACACTGAGAGAAATATCTTTATTTTCCGCAGCGAATTCTGCACCTTTCTGTTAGCATAGAAATCAGTTTACGCTAAGAGTAGGGCTGGGAGTCGATCCCAAAAAAAGGAGTTCTCAGATTCCAGGCATTTGTTTTGACTCCAGTGCTTCGGACTCGATTCCACACAGTGACGTTCAGGTTTGCACGCATGCAGAGTGAGAAATTCTGTCCGAAAAATCCTTCCACAGCATCCGTAGACTGTATTTTACTTTGGACAAGAGTAAAACCCAAAATTTGCAACGTGAACTAGACTTTGTTGTTTGTATATCTAAAGTAAATACACCGGTCGTTTGCACAAAGGGTGGATTTAGCCGCTTCTCCTGAGCTCTGTGCCACTGGAATTGTACACAAAGTAGTTCAAAACCTGAAAACTCAACACTGCAAACAAAAAAACATATCACAAAATCACAAAAACATAATCAAACATCTTTGCTGCGGCTCCTGCTAATGCAGGGCCTGAGTGGGGTAGCAAACTAGCCTACCCCTAACTCTTTTGAGGGCATTTCTTATTTCTACTCTTACTTATTATTTCTATGTTACACCGAGATTACCGAGGAGGCTCGCTAGCGATAAAACCAAAAGCTTTTTCTTAAATGTGACAATCATGACACTCAGTTTACTACAAATTAATGCTAGCTGAGTAAGTTTAGGTCAGCATTTCTCACTGCCCACTTGCTCAGATATGTCCTCTTCCTCCTTAAGTAACTTTTTCATTTTTGTCTTCTCGGTTCCACCTAATTTTGAGGCCGTTGCCGTCCATCCTCACTCGATTCACACGCGAAAACTGCAACATCGGTAATGCTAAAAACAGTAATTCTCTTTAGAGCTGCCTGCTGTGTCAGCACCAGATTCACACCATCGTGCTGAATTTGATAATCTCTCAAGGAGGATGTTCAAATTTCTGCTCCACCTTAAAAAGTGCAGCAGGTACATGCTACATCATTTAAGGTGGAACAGATAATGAGAATAAGAAGCTGTGAGCTGGTTTACCCACTGAATTAATACAGATATATACTTTGATGTAGTTTTTATAGTTTATCTGAACATTTTTAGCATTTTTGTGCTTATACGCTTGAGTTTATACATTAGGACCATAGTGCAAAATACATGGGGTCCTGGGGACTCTGAGACCCCCTAATTAACCTCATGGACCCCTGAATGGTTCACCCAGTTGGTCCTTCATAGCCTAGAAACTGTAACTCTGCCCGGATTCCTCTGAAAAACTTTACAATGAGCTGCAGCAGATCTGTAAATCTGAAAACTCGCCCAGTTTCCCAAGAGTTTGGAGTGAAGAGTGACTGTTCCTCATTTCTCACACTGAAGACAGAAGAGGAGACGAGGAAGATCTCAGTTAATGTGAGGAAGAGCGCAGAACCGCACTAGAACAGAGACTCTACAGAAGAGGAGACGAGGAAGATCTGAGTTAATGAGAGGAAGAGCGCAGAACCGCACTAGAACAGAGACTCTACAGAAGAGGAGACGAGGAAGATCTCAGTTACTGTGAGGAAGAGCGCAGAACCGCACTAGAACAGAGACTCTACAGAAGAGGAGACGAGGAAGATCTCAGTTAATGTGAGGAAGAGCGCAGAACCGCACTAGAACAGAGACTCTACAGAAGAGGAGACGAGGAAGATCTCAGTTAATGTGAGGAAGAGCGCAGAACCGCACTAGAACAGAGACTCTACAGAAGAGGAGACGAGGAAGATCTCAGTTACTGTGAGGAAGAGCGCAGAACCGCACTAGAACAGAGACTCTACAGAAGAGGAGACGAGGAAGATCTCAGTTACTGTGAGGAAGAGCGCAGAACCGCACTAGAACAGAGACTCTACAGAAGAGGAGACGAGGAAGATCTCAGTTACTGTGAGGAAGAGCGCAGAACCGCACTAGAACAGAGACTCTACAGAAGAGGAGACGAGGAAGATCTCAGTTACTGTGAGGAAGAGCGCAGAACCGCACTAGAACAGAGACTTTACAGAAGAGGAGACGAGGAAGATCTCAGTTACTGTGAGGAAGAGCGCAGAACCGCACTAGAACAGAGACTCTACAGAAGAGGAGACGAGGAAGATCTCAGTTACTGTGAGGAAGAGCGCAGAACCGCACTAGAACAGAGACTCTACAGAAGAGGAGACGAGGAAGATCTCAGTTAATGTGAGGAAGAGCGCAGAACCGCACTAGAACAGAGACTCTACAGAAGAGGAGACGAGGAAGATCTCAGTTACTGTGAGGAAGAGCGCAGAACCGCACTAGAACAGAGACTTTACAGAAGAACAGCTGTTAAAACAAACATTTACTGACACTGAAGAATCAGTACCTCCATGGAGAGAGAGAGTTAGCAGACAAACAACACGGGACCCCCAAATACCAGGGGGGATTTCACACTGATTAGCACACAGTATAAACTCACACATGTGAGCACAAAATGATCAGAAAACTATAAGCGTTACTTGTATGTCTGCAGTCAAATTTAGGAGTCAAACCAGCGCTACCCCCCCTTAAGTGGTCTAATGTATGAACTCTCACATATAAGCCCACCGGCCCACCGTGAATTCTCCTAACTCTCTCGATTACCCGCTCCGATGCTGGAGTAACGTATCCGCTTCTCTTTGCGGATTTGACCTTTATCGCGCAGAAAAAAACAGTGAATCAGTTTTGATTCCGGTTTGCGTTTACACTGAGCGCTTTTAATCAGTTTTATTGGCATTAAGTTCTCATATAAAAGTGCATCTGAAGGGGGTTTAGGTCTTGATTGGAACTGAGAGTGGAGAAAGTCACTGTGCGGAATCGTCTCTTGGAATCCATCAATTCCCATCACTCGGAAACCGAGTTGGAGTCGACTCCAGAACTTCCGGAATGGAGCAGCCCCGGTGAAGATCAGCTTAGCTGGTGCTAACAATAGTACAGAGTGGTGTTTCTTTAAAATTAATTAGATGCAAACGGAACTTTTTTTGTTTAGAATCCAACAAATTTGCACAAACGATGTCAGATAATCTGATTGTCTTCCACTTGGTACGTGAACAAAACAGGGGGCGTGGCATTTCCATCCCGAGACTCCGCCCATCACCTGAGACGATCATAATTCTTCTGACTCATAAACGAATTTCTCTGGGAAGTAAACAAACAAACAAACATGCACACATTTACATCAAAACACATCTACACTAGTAAACGTTTGGCAAATGGAGCTGAGTTTGTGGGACTAAGAGCAGAATGCTGGGAATATTTTAGATTATTAACCGTTAGTTGTGTAGAAAACATTTACAACTATTTTTCTTGTGCTCACAATCGATGTCATGAAAACAAATGATTTTTTAATTATTATTTGTAAAAAAAAAAGAAAGAAAAACGCAGAATCTACTGTATCTGAAGCAGAG